TTTTTTTTTTTTTGACGTGTTATTGACTTGGAAACCTTTCTAATTAAGTATTTGTAGATGTATATGTATATGTATATACCTATTTACATAAAAGTGTATATACATACATACATATAAACGAGCTTATTGCATTCTACGAATACAAGGAGAAGTTTGTTCGAGAAAGCTGAAGCGCCTGTATAATTTATAATTATAAACAAAATTTATTATTAGTTTTATTCTAATAAGTGTGTTAATAATGTTCTATTAAAAAAAAAATATTTTAGAAAATATTATCAACTTACCTATAATATAATCGTGGATATGTTTATATGTATGTATGTATGTAAGATAAAACGATCTATATCGTGTGTGTGTTTGTGTGTGTATGTGTGTGTGCGTGTGTAGGCCGCGTCAAAATTGAACAATAGAATTTTGTTAGTAAGCTTTGTATCGAGAAGCTACACAACAAAACAACAAAGAGAACAAGAGAGAAAGAAAATGAGAGAGATAGAGAAATAGAGAGAGAGAGAGAGAGAGGGAAAGAGAAAGAGTTACACACGCGTCATAAAAGAAAAATTCGAATCCATCTATGTGATATATTAAATTTAATTAACTAATCATCTAAGTTCGATCCATGTCGCATTAAACGTTGCAACGAATTATTATTAATGCACAACTAAATTTTCATCCTAAGCTACCCGATACAACGTTTTCGTGCTTTGTGAAATATATTTTGTTTAAACAAAAAAAAAAAAAAATTAGTTTTACAGATGCATGGAATATTCGTGTTTACTCTAAGAGTATGATTGTTATCTCGTGCTATCTAATAAGTAAAATAGAAAATTCTATAATAAACGAAACATAAAAAAAGAAATCATTTGTAGAGATAAATATAGAAAAATAATTACATTCCTGACACAAATTTGTTAAGAACGCTATGAAATCGATTAATCGGGAAGCTCGTGCAAACATTTGGTCTAAAAAATGAAAAAATAAAAGTAAAAATGAAAAAGATAAAACAAAACAAATGTTTGTAACAAGATCTCTCTACGTTAATTAATAACAATAATTCTCTAGAAGATTTACTAAAGTAAAAAACTAGGAAGAGAGAGAGAAAGAGAGAAAGAGACAGACAGAGTGACAAAGTGACAGAGAAAATGAGAAAGAGAGAAAGAAA